AAAGAGAGAGAAGAGATAAATCTTTAATCCTGAGTTCGCACCTGCACTTTACGGCTATTACTAAATTGAGAGGCCAGAAGTAGTTCCCTCAGGCTATTCCTGTTTGGTCATCATACTGTACAGAGAATATCTTATAGTCAGACACGAAGGCAGAAAAAAGCATCTAGGTTGCAGTCTTCTTCTCTCATGGAGAATTTGGTAGCGGAAGAAGAAGAACAGACAACACCATGGACAGCTGACTGAAATCAATACTCGTTCTTGCACGTGAGTGTACTGAGAATTGTATTTGGTGAAGAGAGTCAACCCTATTGCACAGAACCGTGCTGGATTTCATTTGTACCTAATATATCAGCATAAAAGATTCATTATACTTGGAGACAGTTATTTGGATATTCCGTGGTTTCTCTCATACACATGGTTCCATCTTGTGCTATAGGTGATTGTTTGTTTTGTAAGGTATCCATCTGGTGAGAAAGGTGATAGAAACCTTGCAGTCAAAGTAGATTAATTCACTCGAAACACAATTTATACCGTTCCCACTGTCGGAATAAGTTCTTGATTAGGGGTGCTGTCATTTTGTGATACCATCTATCCGTTTCCGCTCCCTCGTCACCCTAACCAGACTTCTCTCGTGTTAATTGGCCAAGACATGCACAATTCAGTATGTTTTATGTTGGTGCTTGGAAAGAAGAACCATCACTCAAAAGTTGTTGGTTCATGAGTGCCCGAGATAGTTTCAAGACGATGCTTTAACAAGTACGGAAGTGGTTTACTCGTCAGGTGGGTCACGGTGGATCCTATATTATCATACTGAAAATGTCGGATTTTGCACTAAACAAACGCAAACGGAATTATATAGGTGGGCTCAGTTCATCAAACTCGGCACTATAGGAGTGTACTACATATAGAATAGGAAAGGGGTGGGTTCTCGCCCTATAGACGGGACTCCAAGATTCAGTTGACTCTGAACGATCTATAATAGTCGATCTCTCTCTGTCATCCGTGTGCGCACGATCTGGGGGAAATATTATTTATTAATTTCGGTTTTTTTTTGTGGGAGAGGTTTCGTGTCATGCGAATTTTTCATCGAATATTGTGTCTCTACTTGCACCTAACTTTCCCACTTATGCTTAGTGTTCTTTGCTCGCAAAAGTAAGCCAAAATTGGAGGTAAATCTTCATTGAGTTTTAATTCATCACATTTGAATAGGCCTTGAGAGCTTTGCCAGAAGTCCTATTCCATTATGTGTGGTGACTAGAAGATTATCAATTCAGGTGGCCATAGTAAGATTGTTCCTTTCAAATTGTAATTTTCTGTCTACTATATAAGTATCACTTCCGGAATCCCAGATAGCTCCATATTATTAGTCACTCCATTAAAATCTAATATGAGACTCTATAAGCCTGGTTAGGTTTCATATTGTTACAAGTTTAATTGTTACATCGTTCCTTTATAATGTTGGGTAATAAAAAGTACATATGAAGTTCCTAACTTCAGTTTGCTATTTGTTATATTATGTTTGTTTGTCGGTCACTATATTTATGCAATTTAGAAATCTTTGATCAACCATATTGTGAATTGAGATAATTCTTTTAGTATCTAACAAATCACTTTATAAAGGATGCTTTATAGTTTTTTGGATAGAGTAAGCACAACGGACTGATCTGCTTGTATACTCCACTCTTCTTCTTATTACACTTCTACTCAAGATATGTTGTTCTGACATTTCTGATGATGGAGAGCATTCCTTTTACGTTCGGTCTCGTGCAAAGTAACCAGTTGGCTGAAGGATTCTCCAACATGTGATAGGAGTAGAGCGATACACTTGGTGCTGCCAAGAATACATTTGTTTTATCCTTTATCAGAACTCCCGAACCGTTTAAGCGAGCGCATGGCATGCCAGAAGTGGAGTGAGGAATAATGGACAATCTGGCAGGTCTACTGAATGGTGAAGGTCATTTTGGTCAAGGATGAGCTTCTGTCACTCATGATAGTTTTACTTGTGATGGCTGGACTCTTCGAGACTACCTGGCAAAGTGGAGATGCAGGGATTGTGCCAGTTGACATCGGCTCATATATCAGGCATGGACAATCATATGGATTTATCCTAGATAACTGTGTCTTGTTTTTTAAGTGAGGTGGATCTTGGTCTGAGTACGAGTCCAGACACACAGAGAGTGAATATATGATAGCGTTCAACATGGCCTCTGGTGGGTTTTTGACACCAGCCATCTTCTGCTCTTCTAAAGCCGTTTTGTGGACTACGGACTGAGGTGCTTCTAGCCGCCAGTTATCTATTTCATGTGTTACAGAGTATGAAAATGTACGTATTATGTTAAATGGGATCTACATGTGTGTGTACTGCATATTAAACTTGTCAGAATTTTAAATTTAAAAATATATAGGAATATTGTATAATATTAAATATAGAATTTATCTAATTTGGTTCTTCACAAAGAGTTAATATATAACCATCGTTTAAGTCGCGTGAACAGTTTTACTAGCGGAAAGTTAGTTTTTGAATTCATTACCTTGCACGGAGTGGACCGTGGATAGAATGGAGAGATGAGATCATGCTGCTACGGTACAGGTGACAGAATGGTAGTAGGATCACTGATATAGAGAGAATGGAGCAAGGCATTTGATGTTGTGATCGGAATAGTATAACCGAGTGGTGTTGTTGTTATTAGTGTATGTGCTGTGTCTTATGGTGGTGTTGGTATCGCAATCATCTCAGACTATGCAATTAAGCTTGATATCACCTTTCTTTTGGGAGTTTGTCTGTTGTTGTGGTGTTGGTTGGTGTGTGTTTGTGTGGTTGGGTCGATGTGGTCTGGAGTGTATGTATCTGGTATGTCATGACAATAGATAGAGCGGGGCCGATCCTTGAAATGGGGCTGTAACCCTCGATTGAGATTTTGTCGCTCAGATATACATGAAGAGCTCACTTTGATCGTAGTTCAATGAGAAACACACATAAGAAATCCAAGCAGGCTTGTACCTCTTCATACTCTCCAATAATATTATGACCTCTGAAAAACATATGTGTGCATTATTTAATATAATTACCGAGCAGCTGCAGCTACCGCAGGTATCTGAGGGTTGTGGCCAAGAGGCGAAGGGTTTTTTAATTGCTCTGGTTAGAGAATCTTCTGTCTGCAGAAACCTTCAGGAGGGGCCAGGTCTCAAAGGGTGATATTTGGTTGCGCAGCAGTTATGGGGAAGAGGCGTCAGTGGGGATAAGAACTTCTTTTTTCTCTTTCATGCATTGTAGTCATGGTGAAGGGGGCATTTATGTGTTATTGCTTGCTCAGTTCGCAGCGTCCGGGGGTGCGACTGTGGTACATATGTCAATGTTGAAACAGAAGACAATCAGAGGGTTGAGTGGTTTTCGTTATAGCGCCGACAGCTGTAATGTTATAAAATTACGAGTGGCAGAGTTTTTGTCATATGATGCTTGCGACAGGTTTCAGCGTCTTCTCATTTGTACACAGCAAGTAATCTGTGTATAATTTCTGTGGTAACCTCATGTATTCTACGGTTGCTTCGCCTGCGTGTTGTCATGTGTCTCGTTGGGATGTGCTGAGTCTCCTTCTAATTCGCTGTTCGTTCTGTGGTCTTCCGGGGTGCTTATTCTAGTTTAATGGGCACGATACGTGCTGCATTTTACCTTACATTTACTTCACGTCACCCCAAGAGCTAGGGCGGACAAGCCAAGAAATGTGGAACACAACAAATCTGCTATTCTTTGCGGGGATGATAAGTCTCTGTCAGTGAGATTCGATAAGGGGAAACTTAGAGTTAATGTGACGCAGATTATCTTAGGAGTTAGAGTTGGCATAGCGTGATTAAGATGTAAAGCACATGTATTATGCGCACGTGCAGGCATAGTATCTTTTATGGGGCAGAAAATGCATTGTCTCACCCCATGATCCAATTGGTTCAGTAGTCAATAAATAATTCCAATGGTATCACTTTCAGCTTCCTGTGACAGGCTGGGCACAGTTATACATTAAAAGATTCCAAGGCCATATTGTATAGGTTCTGTGCGGTTAGTTGTCAGCATGGAATATCATTTAGGGTGTCCAATTTTTAAATAAATTCAAATTTAACGCGAACAACAGGCACTCATTGTGTTTTAAAGGGGTGGATTAATGGCTATTAATAATGAGATTTCAACTTTAAACCAAATATCAAAGTTGGAAGGTAGGAGCATTTGCTGTTTATGGCCATCTTTGGGGAATATGAAACTTGGTTGTGTAGAAAGGAGGATAAAAATAAACACTTGGTAGATCATGTAGCTCAAAAAACATCGCCTGGAAACCAATAAATTCCCTGTTAATTAGCATCAAAGGCACTCAAATACATATTAATCAGTGATGTGTTAAACTGTTTATACAAACTGCGTGTACTACACACCCTTTTTAAATGAAATGTTGCAGAAAACATGTCTTTGCATGTTGGATTGCTGCTGTTTAGCGTTTAGCCTGAAGACGCAACCTGGTTTAGATCGTCGTGTTTCCTTCAAACCAATTTGAAAATAAAAAACCCCGATGGTGCAGCTGCTTGTTGATGCCAGCAGAGGTTTTGGTGGCACTCAGCAGCTGACAGGTGTGAATGAGCGGCAGCCAGCAGACCTGCTCTGTCAGTCAGTTCTCCACGTTAAAGGAGTTCACGCTGACAACCCTTTTTAGCTCTGAAATCACTTTTTTCCAAAGCTCTGAGGTCACCCTGTAACCGGACGCTTTTTAGTGTGTGTTTGTGTGATGTGTGTGTGTGTGTGTGTGTGTGTGTGTGTGTGTGTGTTGTTGTGTGTGTGGTGTGTGTGTGTGTGTGTGTGTGTGTGTGTGTTGTGTGTGTGTGTGTGTGCTCTGCTTCTGACTCTTCATCTCTGTTGTGTTTAAAGGAAGTCCGGTTTGATGTCTGGGTCAGTCCTCTATCCATGGCCGTGTGGACGCATCAGTCTGGTCTGTGGACTCCTCCTCCTGGCCTCCTCACCGCTCCTCACCACAGGTACAACCTCTGACCCCGAACAGGTCAATTTATCCAACCTTTCTTTAAGGATATCATTTATTGATTACTGTCAGGATGTAAAGAACATTTTTACCCAGAATTCAAGGGGAAAATTCAGAAAATAAAGCAAACAAACAGTGAAACTGAGAAACATTAATGTCACTATATATAACTGTTTCATTGAGACCTACCACAGTGATACTGAAACAACTTCAAAGCCTTCATCACTCAGAATTACAGTTTAATTGTAAATACTGTGCAGATAAACGCTCAGCAGCGGTTTGGATTGAAACGCACATGTCCACCACACTTTTATGATGATTGATTGCGAAACACTAAATGAACTTTAGGCAGCCAGTTGCAGGATGTAGCCATTTTCTGTTTGGCTCACTCTGTTTCAGAGGTTCGAAACTAAGCGTCTGGCTCTTCCTCTTCTGATCAGAACAGTTTTCCCTGATCAAGTTTATAGTTTATGTTGTGATAAAATTAGTTTTCTAGAGCTTTAGTCAAACTCTTTTGGGACCTTTGTTAATCAAAATGTGGTCTCCTTCCTCTTTCTAACAGTGTAAATAACACAAAAGTTTAAATGATAAAGAGTAAGAGTATTAGAGTACGATAAACTGAGACTATTCTAGTGATTTTCCACCCTCAGCCTCACACTTGACCTGCTCTACACATGTTAATGTTTGGGGTTAAGGAGCTTGCGGAGGCGATGGAAACCATCATTTTGCAGACGCAGACTTTTTTTTAAGGTGGAAGGTGAAGAAATAGGGGAAGTGGGTAAGAGTGTTGCCTGCTCTGGCAAAGCTGCCCATTGGGTAAGGCTGGTTGTGGCTGCTTTTCACTGAATTTGCAGCGAGTTGCTGGAAAAGCTCACAGTTGCAGCACACGGCATGCTAATATCACCTTACCGCCCTCTCCGATGAACCAGTGCTGTTTACAGCTGGTGTCACACTCACCCGTCATCAATCACCCTTTCAGCCTGTGTTTGTTGCTGCTCTTCTCACAGAGGGCTGAAACAACGACAATGACGTCAATAAACAACAACATGGGCAGTCAGAAGGTCCTCATTGCCCTTCTCTTTTGTTAATTTAAAGATTCACAGTTAGAAGCTGCCCAGTAAATGATAGAGGTTTACTCACATGTGGTGTTTGTGACATTTTAAAAACAAAATGAGAAGAAATCGCTGTTGTTACAATGAAAACTGAGCTAAATCTCTGAGAGCTGCAGCAGTGAGAAAATCACCTCCAGAATGTTTAAAATCTTCATTAAAGCCAAAAGAAAACAAATGCATGTGCAGTGCTTCAGAGAGGGAGGAGGGGTGAGGAAGAAGAGGGTTTTATGAGAATGTGAGGCTACTAATAATCTTGAATTTCTGTGCAAACCTTTTAAAAACTTGCCCTCATCACTGTGTGACACTTTTGTGTTCGTACAGGCCGACAGACCAACTGCACTCACCCTCTGGTGCCAGAACATGGAGGTTTCCGCTGTGATCCGTCTCCATGTCGAGGTTTCCCCCACAAGAGCTCCATCCATTTCTTCTGTGAGCCCGGATACCACATCAACAACAAGGTCCGCGTCTCCAGGTGCCGCCACGGGAGGTGGCAAACTCCCATACCTACCTGCATCCCTATCAAAGGTGAGAGTTCAGAAGATTCTAAGTAATGTAGAATTTGTGTTTGCTTCCTATGTATCTGTTGAGGTGGAAAAGTTCTCTGTAATAATAATTAATTGATGATTAATTAGTTAATTGTTCAGGTCATTTTCTGAGAAAACATTACCCAATTTTCTGGTTTCAGCCTCTCAGATGTGAGAATTTGCTGCTGTTTTACTTTTGGTTAGTCAGACAAAATACGTCTCTTTTGGGTTTGGGAAACTGCAGTTCAATCATTGGTGAGACTGGTTTTGGGTGTTTTAATGTTTACATGACTCGACTCTTCATACAAATCTAAAACTAAATCCGATTAATACAGTTTTTTATACATAACATTTACCTACCTCAGTGGGTCAAACATCCAGGTTAGTAGTTCTGTTCACTCTGTGGTCTCTGATGCCTCAGCTGTCTGCTCTCTGGGTCCTGAGTTTGGAGTCATGTGAGTTTAAAAGTACCTTCTTTATAAGTATGCAGATATTTTCTAAACATCTCTTGACATTCTCTTGACAGAACCTAAGAGCATCACAGCATTCCTCAGTGATTACCTTGGTTTATAATCTATTTGTGACTCATCACAGCGTTTAAAGGCTGATTAGTCACTTTATGACAGTTCCTTCTTGTTTGGAGGTTTCAGGAAGCAGACAGCCAGTCATCGTTGTGGCCGGGGCCCAGTGAAGTTACTTATACTTAAAATAATGATATGTTATGGCTGATTCCAGACATGAGATGTAGTCTGGCTATGAGAGACCACTAGGAGTTTTATAGTGCAGCACTGTTAAAACTAACACTGTAAATCTAAAGCTAAACTATTTGGTGAAGTGAATGAAACTCTCTACAATCAAATCTCCATCAGTCAAATCAGGAAGAAAAGTCAACCTTCATTTTGTTCTGATATTTAAACATAATTAATCCTCATTGCATCCTGTGGCTAAGGGCCTCTAACACAGTGGTCCCCAACCTGGGGTCAGGGCCTCCTACAAGGGTCTAATATTGCTTTTTATTATGAAATACGGGAGAGTTTTACCTCCTGTTGACTATAAAAAACTATTTAACTGAAGTATTCTGAGAGAAGAACATCACTTTTGAATTGATAACAACTAAAATCTGCTTTTAAGGGTCACTAGCTAAAAAGGTTGGGATGCATCAGAACCCGACAGCAGCAGCAGCAGCAGCAGCAGCTCACGTTTATCTTTTGACCTACTTAACAGAAACACGCAGACGCACTCAAACTCTTTGCAGCGGAACTAGAAGCTTTATTTTCCTCAGACCAGTTCCGACTTCCTCTGTCGCCATTCACTCAAAGCATGCTGTGACAGGAAGTTGGCGTGCAGAACGAGGAAGCGGGCGAAACCACCATAATAACCATTAGACATTTCCTCTGTGTTGACGCTGTCAGAGCCTCATGGAAAGCTACTGTCGTACTGTCATGGGCATAGAGAAACCACATAACTAGATGAAAAACTTCCCCTCATAGATCTTGTATTTGATAATCCGCTTATGTTAAACCCATTTAGCCAAAATACCTATTTTTCCATAGTGGTGCAGCACAGGTAAAATGTTTTTTTCACACACTCAACTCACAGGTTTCCAGAGCCCAACTTGACTTCCTCAAACTGTTTGTATTGTTTGACAAACAGTCCAAAACATTCAATCTATACTACTACAAAAACAAAAGAAAAGCAGCAAATTTTCACATTTCTGAACCTGGAACCAGCAAATGTTTGGTGTTTCCTCTAGCAACAACAGATAGTTGTATAGTATGCCTGTCAGTCTCTGTAGTTGTGTTTCTACTTTCAACATTAGTCTTTCCCCCCCTCAGACGGTCCTAACATGAACTCTGATGACAGAGTGAATGACTCGATGCCCAGCATGGCCACAACAGCAGTGGGCGTGTCCATCTTCCTGCTCACCACGACTGCCTGTCTGGTCGTCAAGTCCCGCCTCTACCCCTGTCAATCACACAGGTAAGAAGAACATTATTCACTGCACTGATTCCCAACAAGGGGGTACCTGTGCTGTATAGTGTAAAAATCTGTTTAAAAAAATATTTACATCAACATATTTGTGTTTGGGAGGAAAATAAATCCTACAAATATGATTTCAAATCAGTCCGTTGTAACAGCTAGCAGAAAATATAGATAGATAGCCTAAAATAGTAATAAATATAACCAGTTCAAAGTCAATTCAAATAAACACATTTAGTTTATCATGGTTTTAACACAAAAAACAGAGTAAAACATTTAACAGACATATTTCTCTCATGTGATGTGCAAATGCCACTCTACACAGATAATATACAATTCTATATTGAGTGTAGTGGCAGTAGAGATGTTTTAATTTTATACAGAATAAAGTAAAATATCATCATGTAGAGTTAAATATAAAACACTGGGACCATATGTTATTTGTTTTGGTCAGCACATTAACTTCTTCACCTGTAAACCTGATTCTTCTATTTAAAGTAATTCTCTCTCTGTGTCCCAGCAGCCGTCGCTCGTCAGACCAGCTGGACCTGATGGTAGACGGACTTCCTGTCTCTCTGCCCTCCTACGAGGAGGCGGTGTATGGCAGCTGGGGGCAGCGCATCCCCGCCTGCTCGGTGCCCGGACCCACCCAGCTCCTGTTGGCTCAGGAGGCTCCGAGCTGTCACCAGTCACCTCAGTCAGATGGCAGTCACCGCCCGCTCCTGTCCAGCCAAAGCCCTGACAACCCCCCACCCCCTTACGAGGAGGTCCAGTCAACACATCCCCGGGACAGGATGAGTGACGGCGACGTCCGGCAGCTACATGTTGCACTTTCTGATGACAAGGACGCCTGAGTGACAGACTGTGGGGTTCATATGCAACATGCAGGGTGTAATTGTTTAGCAATGAAGGCACGATTTTGATTGACAGCTAATTGCTGCAGTGCAGTGTTTTCTCTGCAGATGATAACAGCAAAATGATGGCTGAAAAAAACACGGACTGACTCCTGTGCTGCCTGCACTTTTTCCTGGTTGGCTGCAGCTCACCAGCATCAGGACGTTCTGTCCTATCACACGCTATTTTAGACGAAGATTATAAGCTCTGATTGGCCAGTTGTTACGTCACAAAAACCTGACTGTGGAGGACTAGAGTACATTTATAAATAAAATGTTGATTGTATAGTGTGTTGTATGAATGTATGTGGCAGGAGAGTTGTGTCTTCAGGAAAAAAAACCTTCTTTTTACTGCGATAACAATGCATTTCATTGTTTAAAAACCTTTTTATTTAAATGAGATTGTAATTATTCAGTTTAAATATAGAATAATGAGGTTTTTACAGGACAGTGGTGAGATAAAAGTGTAAGTGCCTGTTTGTGTGTGTGTGCGTGTGTGTGTGTTTTCAGTGTTGTTCTGGAGACGTCGTCCATCCTTCCCGTCAGTGACGGGGCTGATCTAGGCTTCCTTTCGTGAAGTCAGTGGCGTGCTGTTGCAGAAACCTGTGTGTTTCCATGGCAACCCACCCAATTCCATTTCTATCTGAGAATTTTGAACAGCGTTTCTCTCTGAGTCAAGTTGGACTGTGGTTGTTGTGGATCTGAAGCCAGCGTGGCGCACAGACACTCGGGTACAAGATGGTGACTTTGTGAAACTCAGTTTGGACCAACAGCGTGTTGTGGTGTTGATTTTGTGTAAAGCGGATATTTTAAAGACCTGAAAATGTTTGGAAACCAAACAGTCTGTAAAAGTGTTTCTCCTGTGTTCATTTATTGGTGAGAGAAAACAAATAATATTAATATTTATGTACAGTAAAAAGAATCTTTCTGTTTACTGACATTAAATAATTTTACCTTTATTTGCACTGGTGGCCTCGGTGCAGAACACAGGTGCTTTTAACCAAATAACAGTTTTCATTCCACAACCTGCAACCCCAGATGTTTGGACCAAATCCCCCAAATAACCTGAAACCCATCAATGGTCAATCATTGATTTGAGACTGTGTCTTTCCTTCACCTGGCTGGTTCCTCTCTGTCACTCTCTGCAGAGTGACTGGCGCCTTCACAGACCTTGAATGTATTTTATGTTTTATTTTGTGCCAACAAATTATAAACTATTATATGGATTGTAATACTTGCATAAAGATTATTTGTACATTGTATTATTGCACAGAATTATAATGAATAAATGTTAAGATGTTTCTTTGCTTGACATCCTGGCCTTGTTTGTGACTTCATTGGAGTTAACATGTATCACTTGGGTTGTAGTCAGTGCTGCAGCAAGACAAAGGACACACCTGATGGGTTTAACACAGCAGATAGAAAGAAACGTAAAGGTAAAGAAAGTGTTTCAGGATTTTTATTCCCTACATTTCTGATATTTTGGAGATCTAGCAGCATTTGCATTAACCTGCTTTACAGGAGATCAGCTGCTATCTTGTGAAAACTTTTATAGTTTTTAAAATGCTTCTGATTTTCAAACAATTCGTCAATTTTCTCATAAACAAGAATCAACACAGACTTTGATACTTGTTGTTAAAACCATTATTAAGAATGGCTCGTTTTTTCGATCCTGCCAATAAACTATTTTTTTGTTTTCCTGACCTGACAGACCTTTCCCTCCACCTGCTGCATGTCAGTCCACACTCACACAACAGTTTAATTGATAAAAAACCTATAGAATGAGATTTTTACTTCAGGTATCTCCAGTTTGAGACATATATTAGACATTTTGATATGGTCTGATATATAAGAAATAAAGTTTTACTGATTCTGTAGGAGTCCTAACTGTGTAATGAAACCAGACATTTTATATTAATAACACTTTTGACTTACATTCACATATTTAAAGACCTGCAGACCTTTATTCTAACTTGAGTGTTAAAATCCTAGTTGATGAAAGAACATAAGATACAGTGCAGCTTTAAATAACATTTATTTATTTTGTTATCACAGTAACTTCCAAATCACCACTGCCCGACTGTCCTGACTCCAGCTGAAATGTGGAAATTTGAAGATTTATAGATTTTAAATAATCTTTTCATACCACCACTGTTGATTAGTGACAATTGCTTTATTGTTTCAGCACACTACAGTTTATATCTAAACATAATAAGTTAAGTGGCCTTCTTGTATTTATCCCAAACAAACTGCTGCTGTTGCGTCCATAAACATGAAACCCATCAATTCCGGTGAGGATTTTTCAGTGGAAACAGGATGGAGGTGATTTTTAATTAATAAACCGTAATGAATCAATCCTGTGAGAATGATCTCTGATTCACTGTCCACTGCAGTACCGTGGTGACACATGATGGTGAGTAAGGGTTAAAAATCAGACTTCCTGTTTTAGTATGAATCCTGGGTGCGTTTGACAAGTTTGTCCAGTTTGACTAAAAGGAGAAGTTGGCTGGACAGGTCTGTTAGGAAATGAAAAAGAGAAGAGTTGGTGCTGTGTACAGTAAGCAGTCAGCTGTGGTTACAGTCAGATGAATGGATGGTCATTGATAAAGACAAACCAGTGTTTCATAATACCAGTGGTGGAAAATAACTGAAGTATTTACTCAAGTACTTCAGTGCAGGTTTAAAGTACTTGTTATGACCCCAAGAAAGGTTCCTTATAGAAGAGGTCAAACAATCTGGATTCTAAGTCAATGTCAGAAACAGAACAGAACAGAAATAAAGCCATGAAAACAAGGCCAAAGGTGGAAAGAGACACAAAATAAACCAGGTTCCTGCTCCCTCCTCATTAGTTTTCCCTCAATCAGACAAGACCAGATAGAAGACCACATCTTAAGAGTCAAACTCAAATCCCATCAGACATCATAACTGGCAGGGGGAGCATTTAACTTCACAGGAACAGTTTCAGTTCGCAGTTACTTTTAAGATTTTTAGTTTAAAACATATAAGACTGTAAAATACAATGTGTTTTATAGATTAAACCAGAGGTTCTCAATCTCTTTGTGAGACCTTGTCACATTGATATCAGTTGTTGGCAGTTCCCTCCAAACATATGGTTTATTTTAGATAAATAAGAGTAATAAATATTCAATATTTCACCCTAAACCTACTGTTGCTGTTGTGGTTGTGTGTATTTGCATTGGGTTTTCTAAATGCTGCACATGTGTCGTCACATTGATGAGGTTTTCTTAATTTGTGTGTTGGACTCACAGTTCAGTCTCCAAACACTTAACACAATATAGATTGAAGACTTTCTCACAGCTTCTGTTGCTAAAACTGTGTGGAAACAATTAGAGTTTAAAAAACCTGCATTTCAAAACTACCTGAAATCTTTGGCCGTTCTCGCTGTCATTCAAGCAACTATTTTGCATTTAGAAATCCCCAGATGATTGGTGGGCGCTGAGATCTCCCATCTTATGCACAGTCAAAGATGAAAAGAAATTTGTTCAACAGAACTTTGTTTTGTCTTCTTTCCTCTCCTATTAAACATCTCACGACCCTTCAGTTTTATCTTGTGGCTCTGTGGAGGGGCCCGACCCTTAGGTTGGAAACCACTGGACTAATGGTTAATATGATAATCCATCAGTTCTCTTATGTTTAACTACATTTCTACATACTTAAACTACATTTAGCTGATAAATTGTCTGTACTTTTACCGTAGTAGGATCTAAAATGCTGCAGTTTTACTTGTAATGGAATATTTTAGTGTTGTGTTATTAAGTAAAGGATCTGAATACTTATTAGATCATTGCTCAATACAACCACATACTGTACTGTGGGTGCGTGTTTGTATGACGGTTGTTGTATTGCTTTTAGTCACTTCAGCTTCCTTCCTGACTTCTGACATTTTTAGTCGAGAATTTGAAGAACTGTGAACACTTCATGAGTTATTTATCCACCAGCGTTATGTAACCAGGAGCCATTTAACTGTCCAGTGCTTGAGGACATCACGTCATCGCAGACAGGAAACCACCTTTTGAACACAGAGTACAAAAAGTGACTGAACCAACACTGAATTTACAGAAGTTTAAAGCAGAGAGGAAACAATGGAGTGAAGCTTTGAAACTGTTACCAGAAAGAGCCAAATGTTGCCCCAGTAGAAAACTCTCCCTTTCAAAATGGTCTCATTGCAAGAAGGGAGCGGCTGGAGGATTTCTCTCCTCAGATGAGAGATTTTCCAGAGTGTGACAACAGTGTGTGTGACACTGATGTTTGTGACACTGATGTATGTGTGTGTAACACTGCTGTGTGCGTGTGTGACACCAGAATTAGGTTTTGCAAACGATGCAGTTACTCAGTTGGGGCTGATGGGAACATCTTCTTTGAAATTACGATTTAAGGGATGTCTTAAGTGTTTTTTTAATATCTAATTTAAACCAGTTGTCCCCAGCTCTGCCTCTGGAGTTCCTTCCACCTGTTGATTGGCTGAACACACCTGATCAGGTTTAGGTAGAACAGAGAGGTTGAAAAGTCACTGCTTTATTTACGCAATAAATCATATGCATCTTAAATCTGAAGGGTTGTGTGACAATTGATGGGAGAGGAAATAAATAAAAAACAAATACAATACACACATTTATCTTTTGTTTTGGTTTACTTCATTTTAGTTTTTCCAAAATATTGGATAATTTAAAATCTTATTAGACTTCAAACAGTTTAAATGAAACCACATCAGAAGTTTAGAGGGGGAATCCCTCTTTTGTAGAAGTGCCGTCTGAAAGAAAAGACGTCTGAAACAGGCCTCAACTAGATGCTAATGTTTTGGTAGAAAGTCACAAACCAGAAATACTGGAACCCCTGGTTTAACAAAGCATTGTATTTATAAGCTTATCATATATTTCCTTGTGTGTAATCTTAATGTAAAGTAGCTACACCTTTCAGATAACTAGTGGAGTAAAAAATGTAGAGTGGAACCTCTAAAGTAAAGTTACTCAAAATTATAATGCAATACCTGAGTAAATGTACTTATATTACTTACAAACCTAAAGAAATGCAGCCAGGGGCGGATGTAGAGGAGTGGCTATAAAATGCTTGGCCACCCCGGTTCGGTCTCAAATGCTGATTTAAATTAATTGATCAACTTATATTTGTCTCTATGCCAACCCCATTAACATTTCTCTACATCCACCCCTCGATGCAGCACATTAAGTCACCACAGAGGTGTTTATATTGAAGGCTGTAAGGTGAATAAACAGGGACGCCGTTTACAGTCAACCACTCTTTGTTTCATAAAACAATGCTATTGTTGTGTTCTAGTTAGAATATCACTTCCATGCCAAAAGCCACTGACACCAAGAATGTGATTTTCCAGTTTTGACAGCGCTGAGGCGATCTGACACTTCTGTTCCTGTTTACCATTTACTGATAATCACCTACAGATGGAGCCGCTCCGCCCTCAATGAGGTAATGTTTCATCTGCACACACATCACACAGCAGCTTCTGCTTTTATCTCTATTTTTATTTAGCTCAAGAATACATACAGGATAAACCGTAGAAACAGAAAGATTAAATGTTCTCATTAGATCAGATCTTGTGCGTAAGGTAAAAGATGAAACAGGACGGAGAAAAACCTTTTAATGAAACCTCTTTCACTGGATGATAAAAAAGGCACAGAGAACTCTGGAAGAACATGTTTAAACAAATGTCCGTTTACATTGAATTAGGATAAACCGTTTTCAAACAGGCTCGGCAGTTTCAGGGTTTAGATATAGAAAATATGGCCGAATAAAAACAATCCTCCACATCTCAGACAGTGTAGTAGCATCACAATATTTCATCGAGCACTGCAACTAAAAAAAAAACAATTCAAACATTCAGCTCATATATGCTGAGGCACAATTTGTTTGCCATAAAATTCAAACTCATACATGACAAAAAAACATGAATACTAGTGTTTAATTACATTTCTAATGAGTATATAAACAAGCTAACTCTACTGTTTGTCTCATTAATGTAAATGGCTTCAGTAAGTTAATCAGACTATATGTTTAAATCAAACTGCTGATTTATGGTTTGTTTTAGTCCACTTTGATTTCACAGGATGGATGTCTGAACCTTTCTGTGATTGATCGCCTCACGTTAGCTTACAGGGAGTGTTGGATGAGGTAAACCCCACCCACCTGGCACCTCGGGGTGATTAAAACAAACACCAAACGATTGTTAACTCTTCAATAAAACGGCAACAACAAGTCCTAACTTTCTGATACATGTACTATTTGAAAAGGTTTAGCATTGAGTGTATAAAAAGACGTAAAAATATGCCACTGAAATAAACGATGCCACTGATATTTCGCTAGTTTGTTTGTGTAATTTGACACAAAAAGGAAATAATAACAGCAGAAGACTGTTTATATGTATGAATGTTGGCTCAAAGCTGAGCATTATGGGAGTTCCTGTGCAGGACTTTAAAAAACGGTAAAAGCACTAAAAACAAAAGAAATGTGATAAAACTGGAAAGCTGCGATAAATTGAATTTAGCTGCTCAGAGAAATAATTACCAGATTTGTCTCAATGTAGGATTTTTAAAATCTTTTACATCAGAATTTTAGCACCGCCTGCTGCTGCTTCCATGAAACAGACTGACCACAATGATGGTTTCTCACATTAAAATCAGTGTAAATGTCGATGGGTTTAAGAGAGCGAACAGCACCTCCCACCTGCCTTACAACACGTCACCCGACATAAGTGACCGTCCTGGTTCAGCTACAAGCAACGAGGTCACGTCCGACCTCACGTTATGGCTACGCAGCGTGTGTGAGTTTTATATTCGTGTGCGTACGTGTTTGTGGTGTGTTGCGTTTGTATGTGTGCACTCAGGTTGTTGTTCTTTTTCCAGACAGATCCGGCATCGACTTTCTCGCTTTGAGTGTAGAAGACGTCGAGACCAAATCTTGATTGAATGGGACGCGGTCAAGTCAGAGGCGAGAGCGGCGGCGACAGGTCAGGTGGGCGAGGTATGAATATGTCCCTCATCAGAGCTGGAAGAGACATACAAACACTGTTAGAGACCTGAGTTGAACATGTGATCTGGATGAGGAAATACACACATTAACTAGAAAGGCACTCAGAGGGCACTGACATCCATCACGGCCTACAGTCACTTTCACATTCGCTTTATATAATACCAAATACAAGTGCTCCTATATCTGATATCATTATCCAGATCAATCACATATCACCTCATATCAGGTCAAGTGTTCAAAAACGCATTTAAGAAATAAGAGTAAGTGTAATGTAACAGTATATGTAATTATGTAAAATACACAATGTGCTCTACTGGTGCATGGATACTTAATGTAACATAAGTGATAAAGAAAAAGATGAAATATAAGTTATTAACTGATCCTGGAACATTTTCTGTCTTAACTCTTGTGCTGCGTTCCCACCAAGGCGAGTAGATTACAAACAAAGTCGATATAAAGATGCTAATTCGTGCTGGGTGATTGGGTGACGCAAACTGATTCCAGCTGTTGGTTTTAGCCCTGATCAATCCGAACTCCATTCAGAAAACAAGCATTTTAAAAGCTGTTTGCTCCTCGTTTGCATACAGACCCAATGAAGTAAGAATTCAGACTTTTTACGGATCACCATCATGATATAATTAATTCAGCATCCTTTTGATCCGTTTATTGACATTAAATCATAAAAATGTTTATTTCAGGCTCATACCGCCGTAAATATAAATTATCCTGCAAGTAACGTGAGGCGAATACCCGCTTCATCTTCAGTGGGAACGCAACATTACTTCTGCAGAGCTCGAATATGATCACCAGAGAGCGTCATGTCACCATGTCAGTTGAGTATGCTTTAGGACAGTCTCTTCTTGTTTACTGGTTTTAATTTTAACTCAAACTATGAGGGTGGAAACTGTTCAATCAGTCTGTAACTCTGTGTGTGTGTTCATGTGTGTTTTACCTGCAGTATCACAGAGTCCCTGTATGCCTCCTAAAAGTGGGTCTTTGTCTGTGAGCAGCCGACTCCGCCCTCCCGGTCCCGGGTCCAGGACCAAATCTGATTGGTCGGTTTCGTCCAGACAGCCCTGAAGATGGAGGTTAAAAAACACGGTCAGAAGGAGGTTCAACACCCCAAGAAGTCAAGTTAATTATAATGATATATGGTGCTTCGTGCACAGATAAATACGGCCACTAATAACCGCTGCTGTTAGGTTCTGTGCTTCCTGACTGCTGCTTTCCGTTAATAAAGTGAAAATATTCTGTGAGCTGGAAGGAGGTTTGAAAGAAAGCTGTGTAATGATCAGCCTGTGATCTGTTTGTATTCAACTCATCAGATTTGGGGGTTTTACTGCAGACAGAGCTTAAAAACAACCAAAACTGAATCGAAGCTCAGTGCAAAATAACTCCCGCAGTCACATCTGTGTTCTCCTCTCTGCTCTGGAAAATGGTCCGAATTGATTCCAATATGTGAAATTATTTTCCTGCAGATGTTGAGAAACATTGGAAAGTTCTCAAGGCAGAAAAATGATCCATCTTCCTTTAATTCTCTAAAGCACTTTGTAAACCTCTTTTTAAATAAAAAATGCTGGATAAACACATTTCTTCCTTGTCCTCGCTGTCCACTCACCAGCAATCTGTGGTTGAGGAGAAGTTCCTCTTCTATTGAGGAAGCATCATGTTTCTGTCTCTTGTCCTGAATCATCAGCTGGGACAGCAGCTCCTCATCCGGGTTGTGGGTCCTACAACAGACGCAGTGACATTGTAAACCATGTAAACGTTTGTATTTTTATTATAGCTGACTGCACCATTTTACTCTTCCATGCTTGGCTGATTTTAGCTACTGATCACACATGTGTCACTGTGTCTGAGGCGTATGGGTACTGTAATGTGTACTGCTATTGCCTTATATTATATACACTTAAATTATTTATTGTTCTTTATTCATTTATTGTCTTTGTGCTGCTGTAATACCTGAATTTCCCCTCTGAGGGATCAATAAACAATTATCTCATCTTGCCAGTACTGCTTTAAGGAGATAAGAAAGTAGCTGATGTTAGCATTCAACCCAAAGTACAGCTGAGGTTGACATCCATTAGTCGTCAAAGTGAAAGTGAGCCTGGCAAACTGAGTCTGATACACCCGTACGGTGGATAAACCCTTTAGCTAACATGGCCTTTCCTCTGGCGACACCCTCTGGACAAACTTTACACTTACATTACGTCTTTTAACTTTCATTGTTGATTAATAATGAATGGTACAACAAAGCTCCACGTGTGCTTCTGGACAATGTCCTTATATTAGCACATGACCCAATCTTAGGCAGCTAGCCGGCTAACATACAGGCAGCAGGGTCAGGGTTATTTTGTCAGATTAAAGCAACAGCCCCTCAAAATGAACATTCATTATCCACTAGATAAAGTCTCAACTTATGAGACATTATACAGAGATAGCTTCCGAATTCATGTGATCATTATTTCAGAAATGATTATTATAGCATTAGTATTATATATTATGTAATAAAAGCTAAAAATAAAACTTTAATATGTGTCTTTTGGAGTGAAATACTATAAGCAAATATCAAGCATCTCCAGTTGTGACCTTTTGTTTAATCAACGTATATTTTCCTCTTAAGTCTCCTCAAAGCTAATTAAGTAATCGCAGACACACAAAATGTGACTTATTATCAAAGAATGACTAAATGCATCCACCTGAGAGAGGGAACTCATACCGTTTCCTGTTCACTTTGAGTGCAGGCATCACTGCTGAGGATTCAAATGAAGAGGACGAAGGTTTGTCGGCTTCCTCTGGCAAACTGCTGAGGAAGGTCAGCTGGAAGTCATCGTCCATCGAGATGTAAGGAGCCAACATCTCCAGATCCATCCCTTCCAGTGTTTCTCCTTCTTTCTTCTGTCCATCGTCTGGCCAGACAGCAAAGAACTTCTCCACCTCGCTGGTGTCCATCACCTCCTCCTCCTCGGAGCTCTGAGGACACCGAACAGAGAGTAAACCATTAAATCAGACAAAGAGACTAATACTTTCAAAGTTCTAGTAAGATTGAAGGCTCCTATTTACCGGCTCAGGATCAGCTGAGGAGGTCGGTGATGGTGATGATGATGTTGGGTTGAAGATGGGCGAGAGGAGCTGTCGCAGCTGTGGAGTGCACAGATCCTGCGGGTGGTCAGGCACCGAGTCTTGAGTGGACAGACTGACGAAGGACAGCTCAACAATATCTGACAAAGACAGAAAACTGGTCAATAAAACCAAAACATTCTTGAACTAAATATTAAAATGTAAACCTTCATCAGCTGTGCTTTGGTCTGTCTCACCTGTCAGCGGCACGATGACGTCTCCGGCCTCGGGAGCCAACTGGAGAAGCTCCTCCGGCTTCTCTTTCAGCTTGAAGAAGAGGTCTGCAGCGCTGCTGGTACCTGAACTTTCGTCCTCGGTTTGATCGGAGCTGGCGAGACACTCACTGTCAGAGTCACGCATGTCAGAAGTCCCAGAATCCTCTGGTGCAGGCGCTGCTGAGTGGGTTTTAGCCTGACCACAACGAAGCTGCTCGACGGAGAAAACAACATCTGGCTGCTCCACGGCGCTGCAGGAGAAGACGGCGATGTAGGAGGTGATGAAGACGAAGGAGAGGGAAAAGACAGAGCAGGAAATAAACTGTGAGATGATAAGTTTGGTGTGAACAACCCACAAAGTGCCAGCTCTGTCTCTGTGTGGAGTCATGTGACATGACCTCGCTGCTTTTTAAAGTACCTGAGGATAAAGTTGAGACAGACGACGGCCTCGGGCTGTGATGTCTTGCTGCTGTAGAGGACAGTCGCTTGGGTCTCCGCCCAGACGAAACCGCCGCTGTTCGCCAGGAAACGATACTGGCTGGTGCTCACCTGACCTTTGGACAGCACTATACAGTGTGGACAGACAGACGGGGACATAAACAGAAAACAGTCTAGTTTATTTACAGAGTTATAACATTTGTGCAACACCAAAACCAGTGAATCTGCTTTAAAAGGTTTATATACAGTATTATTACTGTTCCAAGAGAGTTTAAATGAGTGAAACATCACAGCTTTGTTTATTAATAACTGTTAGCATTGGATTCAGTACAGTTTGTCTCTTTTATAGCTCAGTACACAAACACAAACTCACGTGTGTGCAGGCTCTTGTTGATGTGATCAGAGTCGAGAGCGTGATGAAACTGGTAAGCCGAGCGACCAATCAGATCGTCAGGTTTGTATCCCACCAACTCTGTCACCCTGGAAACAGAGAGATGGAAGAAAAACAGCAGAAGAATTAAAATTACAAACAAAAAGCTTCAGAGATTCTCTCTCTCCTGTTATCCTGAGGACTCGTCCCACCTGCCCTCGCAGTGGGTGAAGCGCAGGTCCATGGTGTGGCGGGTGAGGAAGGTGCAGGTGTCCAGAGGGAACTCCACGCTGGACGGGTGAGGGATGGGCTCGCACAGCAGAGTCATCACTCTTGGAGCAGGAGGCGTGGAGCCGCCGCCAAACGGACGCATGTGACCTGTGCAGTGGAGAACCTGCAGAGACCGAGCAGAGATTCACTTCAGACAGAGTACTGGTTTTTGATTTACTGAAAACAAAACATCCAAAAGCCAAATGTATCCAATGTAGGCGTGTTTAATTTAACACTTACAACCAATAATAATAAATAATATAATAATAATAATTAT